TACAGGTGGGGAACCCTGGTGGGTCAGTTTGCATTCCACCTTGGTACCGTGGCTCCCCAAGAACATCAGCTTGCAGATCCTCCATGGTGCTTTGAGCATGGGTGTGTACTTGGCACAATTCATACCTGTTCCTGTGCCAGTTTATAGCCTCGCTTTTGGCTCCTCCAGAATTTCTTATTGAGGTTCTGACTGTACTTCTCCCTCACCTATTGATTTATGCTCACCCTATCTATGGCCCCACAAAGTCACGAGCCATCCTCATCAGCCTCCTCCTAGCTATGGCCAAGATGGCCATTTATAAAACCAGGGAGATGAGGGAGGAGTCTGCAACTATGGAGCTTTTTTCCTGTTCCTCTGTCCATTCATGTATCTGGGTGGAATTCCTCTGGGTGGCTTCTGCTGACTCCCTTGATGCTTTGGGGGAGCTGTGGGCACCATCCAGGGCTCTCTGCTCAGTGTCCCCATCCACTTCCCTTGTTGTGGCCCTTTGACCTTCATATCAACCCCTGTTTTTCTTTGACCCCCATAATCATTTGGACTCCAGGGTTCAGAGGATCCTCCCCATAAGCGGGAGAAGACCACTTTAGTTGTGGTCGGGCTTATGCCCACCCACCTCCTAGTTTCCAAAAGGAGCAGAAGTGTTCAACTAAGTTCAACTCTTTCTTTTAATCCTGTTTTCTGTAGTCTTCATTCAAGGTATATTTCTTATATTAAATACAAATGGTAATTGATCTAAATACAACTTAATAGCCAATGAATGGCAATAGTATGCAATTAAGATATATTAGGAACATATTTGGTATTTTGTAGGATGCAATCATCCTTTTATTTTCTCTTTGAAGGGTTGTATGTGCTTTGTCCTACATCACTTCACAATCTTGTATTTATTTCTAAACCAACAGAATATTACCAGAAACTCATTTCTTCTGCTTCTCTTCAAAAGGAATTACGTTATACTGTACTGCAAGGCAGGAAGATTTTGAAAGCCATAAATATCACAAATCTATTCAAACATTCATAGATTAAAAAAAATGCTAGAGGTTCCTGTGCTAATTCAAAATGCATGTTCCACCTGAATTTCCAAGAAGATTATGAAAATTAATCTCTTTTTCAAATTTGGTGCTGGATATTAGAATTAATCATACTATAAAATTGAACCCAGACATGGTATTTCAAATTCAATACATATATTCAGAATATTCCAATTATATATACAAATATTTGGGATAGGAATCAGAATATACAAAACCATTTATTCAGCATATCATTAAAATGCTAATTAGAAGTAACAATGAGCAGAACATATATTAAACAATTAAAAATTCCACATTAAAAATATTGCCATTTCTCTCTCGATGTTATGGACTGGCAAAAAAGGCATTTCATATATATATTATTTTAGTTATTCATTTGTTGTGTGATGTTATGATCAATCAACATGTTACATCAGATATTGCCCATATTACATCATTGTGTTAGAGGTAATTTGTAGGATTATAGAAGTATAAAACTGATCAGTATTTAGAAGAATCATGTAGACATAATACAAGCTGAAACACAAGAACCTGTAGGTTGAGGCATGCAAGATTTTAGCTTAGTTATTTGAAGCTTTGAAGTCAAGTGACAATGACTGAGAAATAACCTGAGCCCTAAGATTATGGGAAAAGATGTACTAAGTGGTAATAGTGGGAAAAATTAATATTAAATCATAGAAATACTGCAATGGTACATCTACCTCTTATATGTACCTTAATCACAGGATACGGATTGTGTGTTAATGAGAATGAGAATAAAGGGAATTTACACAGTCTATAGAAAATTGGGGTCTCTTACATTTCCAAGGGGCATAGACCAATAAAAGAGAGCTGAACACTTTTATGGACACAAGCAGAATGTAGATATAGACAGAATCACATTATAAAAAGGGGTGCCCCAAATGGGCATCCCTATGGGAGATTCCAGCAGGAACCATTAGGCTTACTATCTGTGTAATTTCACAAACTTAAAAGCCCATTCCCCCATCAACTGCCCCATTCCTTTTCAAAGCCACACCTCTACTCACTCCATCCCTCCTCTCTCCATTGCTCTCTCTTACTTTCACCAGGATGTGGCCAGAGGGAAGTCTGCAGGAAGGCGTGTCAACTCTGGGAGGGTGTTTGTGTGCAGGAGGGGATTCAGGATCTCTGGGAAGGAGTTTGGATGCAAGTTCTGGGCTGGGGCAAGGGATTGGAGCGCAGGAGAGGGTATAGGTTCTGTGCTCAAGTCATAGATTTTTTTTATTTTTATTTGTTGCTGAAAATAAAATGAGCCCTAGTAGAATGTGCCTTAACCCCTGAAGGAAGAGGGACAAAATTTATATGTAGCCTAAACCACTTGGACAAGCACGGAGAAGAAATAGCCCAACCCTTTCTAGACTCTTTGAAGGATATGAGGAGATTAGGGGATTTTCTAAAGACTGTCCTATTTATACAAGATGCTAGCACTCTTTTGGCATCCAGTATATTGAGTGTTTTGATTCTCTGGAATGCACGAAAGGTCTAGGAAAGAATACTGAAGTTTTGAAGGTCTACGATGAATACAAAGTCTGGGAAAGAATAATACTAGGACTAAGGTAGCCTCTTTGACTTGCCTTAAACAGGCCCCCACCGTTGAAATTTGCAGAGCTACAACTTGGAGCTATACAAACAGATATTCACTAAATATACTACTTTGGTTCAGGTGGAAGTCAGGAGGCAGGGAGGAGATTTAGATCATGGATGGAGGATCTCTTTGTCCTTCTGGAAGATTCTGAAGCATGCATCTGCTGTCAAGGCTTCCAGTTAATTTACTCTTGAGGAAGAAGTTTTTGGCAATAATGAATTCATAGATGGAAAAGGTAGCACTTACCCATGAAAAGACTCATTGAACTTAAACAACTAACTTCAGTCAAATAATTGAATGTAGGCCTCTCAGAGTGGTATAAAATGTTATGTCAAGAAACACTTCATGATAAAGACCAGGTCTACAATGGTGTGTTTTGCTAATATATATACTTGCCTATGTACATATATCCCTACTTCTCCTGGCATGGAAGCAGTTTATGCTAGTAAAACTGTAATTTTATTCCAGCACTGTCAAATGATACAAGTTTTTACAAAGTAAGTGATGTTTTGCTGGTATAGCTGTGCCTACACTAGGGGCTTTTCCTAGTACAGCTATATCAGGTACATACACATGATTGATATAGTTATGTTGACAAAAGTCTGTATTGTAGATCTGGCCAGTTGCAAGACTAGCAATGTTCTGGGAGGTAAATTCAAATTCATGCAATATTTCATAACCCTAATCCTTCAATGTTGTACTGCTAGGGTGCATTGTTTAACCAAAACTGAAACAGATAATATGAATTATGCAAAATTACAACATTTACATAAAATCAATTTAAATTCACAAAAGACTAATTAAAATAAGATGCTCTAAGACAACCCTCTAGTGTGGAAAACCATATGCAGAGGGGCCAACAGCCAAGCTCTATGCTCCTGGAAAGGTCAAGGCCTCAGGAGGAAGGGGTGAAACAGGGCAGCCAGTCATCAATACTGCTTAGAGCACATCGTGCTGCAGCCTCCTCCCCAGAGGCCCTTCTGAGCTGCCTGGAGCACACCAGGCGGGGTTCTGTTGGCAAGTCAAAGGGCCTGGCGCGCCAGCCACTGTTGCTGCCACAGTAGCTGTGGCGCTGCAAGTCTTAGTTCTCCCTTTTGGATTTAAATTATTTTCAGTTAGGGTTGCCAGATGGTTTCAACAAAAATACCAGATACACTTGACATTACATCACAATCTATATTACATCTTATTTAGAAAATACCAGACAGTTATTTTTCTCATTTATATTTTCTCAATTTGTTTCCGAACAGAAAGCTCAAATACTGGACTGTCCAGTTCAAAACTGGACATCTGACAACCCTATTTTCACTTGCTAGTCATTTCCCAAAGCTTGAATCTCACACCCGAGGCTGCAACCTCAAGAATGTGGGTATGTTGTAATTCATGTACATTTCAAGATTTTAATGTTCCTTTTAGACTTCAGAACAACAAACATGTTATTTATTCTTGGTTGAAATATACTGCTGCCTTTGAAAGAGCCTGAGGGTGCAAAGCCAATGCAAACGGAGTATCAGCCTCTATGCAGTAGAAAGAGAGGCATACACATTTCTTTATGTACTAAAAGCATCTGGTATTTGGGTCAGTCAGAGTCCTTTTAGAGACAGTTGCACACAGGAGTCCAGATTAGCTTTGAATGGGGCAATGTGAAATAAAGGTAGTTTGGTGCTGCATAGCCATGATAGTAATGACATGGAGCTAATTATCTTAAGAAGATAATTACTCTATAACTAAATTATATACTTATATAAACATATATCCTATGTGTGGAGGTGGTATCCATGCGATGACAATTGGAAAGGCAAATGATAAATTTGTAACATGATTTTGCAATTTGTCAAATACCTATGACCACATCAATTTATCTTTAATTCATCTCTCTCAAGATTTGTTCAAACATCAAGCCCTTCAGGAGAGTAAAAAAGCTACAATTTTTAAAATAAAAACAACATGCCCCCAGGGAAAAGTATTTTCCAACTCCCCACCAAAGCTACTGCTGCCCAAAGACACAGGAGGGACAAAATTCAGTTGTGTACTAGTAATAGTTTTTCAAGGTATCAAAATATCACAGCTTCAGAATCTGATTTATATATTGGTGGCTCTGTAGTGCTATAAAGCTTCCATTTCTGTGGGGAAAAGACTTCTGCCTTTCCAATTATACCGTGTTTTAATAATTTCTGCTTTCACCAAATTATTAATACTATAATCCCAACCTCATGTTTATGTCACTCCATTATGTATATTCCTTTCTCAGCTATATTTTTAAAGACAGAAGGACTAAATTGTCATATTAAAAGAGCTAATAAAATGATTGATACTATAGTAAGAAAGTAACTAAGGTGATAGAACCAACGATTCCTTTTATAATCTCACACAGGTCCTGATTACATCAGGAAAATGAAGTGGGTTTAAAAAACATTTTAATTAGCATACATTTTAAAAATTGTTAATTTTTACCACTTAGCACCTTCCCTAGATAAAAACAATGGTTTTTTAAAATGTGTTTGATAGTTTGTGGCCAGTCCTAATGTTCAGTAGCACATGTGTACAGCCCAACACGAATAGATTTTGAGATGGTTCCTGGACCTATAGTTCACTTTCCATGCACATGAAAAATGCCAAATTGGCAGCCTGGGAAATTGATATTTACCTACCAATTAAATATATCAGGAGCAACCATAGTGCAGAATTTCTCAAAATGGTCTGCTAATATCCCTAAAACATTTTTTTCCAGGTTTAAAGATATATCAACACCCACAGCATATTCAAACCTTGCGTTTCATACAAAAATTCTCCAAAAGTATGTCAAACATCCACATTTATGGCAAAGACATCTATCTACCAGGAATTAGCCTGATATGACCAAATTATGTATTTCTGAGTGTGCCTGGTTTTACATCAGTGACCTAGGAGATAATAAACTGCATATTCCATTATTAATCTCATGGATCAGGAATGTTTCAAGAAAGATCTCTTTTTTCTACATTCCTCCACTAAACACATTCAGCCTGTCTTGTTTGTCAGCCAAATTATCTTTGTGTAGCTTAACATATATTAGAAAATAATTGCACAATATTTTATTTTGATAAAGAACTTAAATTACAATCAATCTTTTGTCAACTTAATTATCTGAAATGCACAGAAACACAACTCTGCACCCCTTGGATTCATGCAGATATACACACCTGAAAGTAATAAACGTAACCCCAAACCATGAAAAATTATGCAGATACCTTCTAAAATACAATGTTTCTATGAGTTAATTTAAAAATATGAAGTCTTGACTTTTGACTTAACCAAGGTGCAGATGGTACAATAAGTGTCAAAACAAGCAAGTCACTGCAGCATTCCTCCAGAGATTGATGACATCTCATCACATGGTTTAGCAATCTAGCATAAACAACAGTTGGGTAGTATTTGATGAGCTCTCTCACAGGACTTCTGTCCTGGGGCAAGTATGAAGCTCAGTGTTTGCCTCATGGCAAGCAGGTGTTTGAGCAACTTGCTGAGTTTTCCTTCAAGAGCACTCTGTAAAAACAAAAAGGTTAAGGAAAGAAATGGTAAACATTATGAAATAAAAGGGAGTTAATTATGCTAGGTGAAAGGCCACAAAGTCCTGTGTAAGCACCTGCATGAACAACCACAAATATGCTGACATTTATAAAACAATCTCATAGGAATTTATTGAAGATGTCAAATTCAAGGCACTTTGCCTTTTCTTTTTCTCCCCTCCAAACCATCTGTGGATAACATGTGTTGAGGGGACATGATCTGACAAAGCATGAAATGCAACAAATTGCCAGACTTTTAGCCTCTTACAACAAATATGAAAACAAAGATCAAAGCCGCCATATAGACTGGGATGATTGTTTGGTTTTTCTACAGAACAGCCCAAAGCTAGTATAAAAAAAATTCAAACTTCTAAACAATCAGAATATCAACAAAGAATAAACAAGAGCATGTTTATCTTATACCTACCACAGAATTTTCTTGTGTCCTTTTCCTGTTTAAAGCTTTAGCCAGCTGGACATTCAATTTATTGAACAGCATGATTTCCTTTACTAACAAAAACATATTTTAAAAATTGAGAACTCATTCTGAAGAAAACGACACACTTCTATGAACATATACCAATGTAGATGAGAAAGGATATATGCAATTATACACCACCTCCACCAGATATACAAATACATGCTTTCCAAATTTAGAAGAGATATTTACAAATAATCCATGATACACACTTTCATTCAAAACTTTGTATGTTTTATCTTAAAATATGAACATCTGCTTATAAATTATATTGCATCTCCTTAATAAAAATTGTATTCATATCTGTTTTTCTTGGTTGTAATTACTCATTTGATGGGTCCCTTAATCACATATGATTCAGTATTTTAATTTACAATAGATATTGCTCTTTCATTTCAGAGACAGACAACAGTGATCGCTAACAGAAAATTAGCTTACCTTTAGATTCCTGCCACAAAGAAAAAAAACCCTGTAAGAGACAGTCATGCGACTAGATTCACAATCAAAAAAATATTGTTTGGATTCCAGTTCAGTGCAATTTTTTTACCGTTTTGCTACAGATTTCTTGGCATTTTCCATCAAAGCCATTTGTCATGAACACTAATGGTTAGCCCTGACTGAATGGAAAGTTGCAGCAGGCCCAATGGAAATTAACTAGTTTTCTGAGGAAGCTCCACACTTGGATCCTGTGTTGGTGCTCTAGTGATGGTGTTCAGTTCCCAGATGGACAACTGAGCTTTTTGATGGTGCTTCACCAGTTAATCACTTGTCTCAGATGGAACTCAGTAATAGCCCCAAGCCTAGAATAGAAACAAAGGCCCTTTGTAGTCTGTGACACCATGGACTTACATTAAGCATCAAGTCCACCTGCTTTCAGCAATCACTGGCCCACAGCCACCATGCTGCTTCCATAGCCCCAAGCCAACTTGAGGATTGTGGAGCTTGCGAAGTCTACTCCAACCCTACAAGGGGCATGTGGCACTTAGAGTGAACCACCAGCTATTCAAAACAGCTGGTGATTCTCTCTAGTCACTGGGGGGTGGGGTGCAAAGACTTCACATGCTCTCCCTGCCCCCAGGCCGATCAGAGTCTGTGGGTGGGGACCCCGATGTGTCCTGGCCCTACCCCTTCCACCTGAGCTCTGCCCCTTTTGGGGAGGCCTGGGGGCACTACAAAAATTTGTGAAGTGACAATCCTTCTAAAACTATTGCCCAACCCTGCACTAGAGCTACATAATGCAGCAAAATGAAAGATCTTGGGCAGGGTTAATTAACTGAAAAATCAGTACCAAACTCAAGTGTTTAGTGATAGAATTGTTAATACACCATACCTAATACTACACATGGGGCTAGATTCAGTAGTGTGGCTGCTTTGCGCATCATCATTGGCATAAAACTGCTCTAAAGCTGGGGTAGCTGATTTGGCTGACTTAGGCTTGTGGATCTCAAGCTAAGGGCAAGTTTAATTATAAACATCTGGGCTCAGGGTGCAGCTTGAGGCTGTGACCCTTCCACTTGTAGGGACCTAGAGCTCAGGTTCCATCCTGAACACATCAATTAAACAGCCCCACAAGCTCAACTCAGCTGGCACAGGCCAGACACAAGTTTTTAACTGCACTGTAGACATGAGGATCACTCCAGCATAGGGATTTGTGATGGCAGCATGCAGTCCTACTGATCCCTGACCAGGGAGGAGGCGGCAAAGGCAGGTCTTCCAATATCCCACTGAGCAACTGTTGCATATTTGCTCCATAAGTCTGTTGGCAGCAGTAAATAGCTAGAACTACTTCAGCTTATCCTTAACTGCATCATCAGCACAAGATCAGGTGCACAAAAAAAAGGTAGCTTACAGCGACCATTCCTTAGCAACAGCGGATGTTCTGTGCCATTCTGTTTTACACATATTGGGCTAGATCCCCAACAGCTGTAAAGGGATCATTGTTTCATTGAAGTTGGATATTTATGCAAGTTGAGGGTTTTATTTACAGATAAGATTTTAAAATGAGTACATTAAGAAGCAAATTTTATGCTGAAAAATCTAACAAAATGGGAAAAACTCTTCTGAAACATTGGGATAATAACAATTGGATTTGTATTCGCTTCATGTCCTCAGGAATATGTCATTGAACTTTACAATTTTGTATGAAACACATAACTATTTAACAAATCATCAGTAGCATAATAAATATGTTAGATCTTCTTAAACAACATTTTGCTACAGGCCACCGAATAAGGTGGATGAGGTAGATGAAGCTTTCTTCGGACAACTGAGCGAAGCTTCCAGATCACAGGCCCTGGTTCTCGTGGGGGACTTTAATCACCCTGACATCTGCTGGGAAACCTATACGGCAGTACACAGGCAATCCAGGAAGTTTTTGGAGAATGATGAAGCTTTCTTCGGACAACTGAGCGAAGCTTCCAGATCACAGGCCCTGGTTCTCGTGGGGGACTTTAATCACCCTGACATCTGCTGGGAAACCTATACGGCAGTACACAGGCAATCCAGGAAGTTTTTGGAGAATGTTGGGGATAACTTCTTGACACAGGTGCTGAAGGATCCTGCCACCAACTTACCCTTTTCTTCCGTGACTCGGGCTGCAGAAGAACAACACAAAGAACAATTTTCAATATATGAAATCTATTGTTATCAAATTAAGGGCCCAACACTCATCCCGGTGTAGGCCATGGAAGTCTAGTGTCAGAATCCTTTGAAGGAAGAATTTTTCGATTGAGGAATGTGCTTTTCTTTTTCTGAAACACTTCCTCTGCCCCGTTGTGATTGGATAACTCCATGGAAGCTTTACAATGTCTCTTTTGATTTGTTATGGGAAATCAACCGGGGGGTTGAAACCCACCAAAGGCAAGGAAAAGTTATTTCTAAATTAAAAAGGAGAGCGTTCCATGTTTATTGGTGACAACGTTCACCCATTCTCCTGGGAAGTTTCTGCTAACATCACGAATGTTGACTGTTAAGGCAGAGACCTTGCCATGTTCTCCACATTCAGCGGGAGGCAAGCATTCACCTTGTTCCTATTTATGTGTAATGCAGATTTGAACCCTCAGCTCCCATTTTCAAGATTGAATTAATTAATACCATATTCAGCAGATTGAACCCTCAACTCCCATTTTCAAGACTGAATTAATTAATACCGTATTCAGCAGATTGAACCCTCAACTCCCATTTTACAGATTGAATTAATACCATATTCCGCACATGGATTTCAACTGAATTCCATCAACAGAAAAGTATACCTAACAGATCTGATATTTGGGAACCTGATTAGGTAAAACAAAGTCGTTAACTACTAACAACTAGCTAAGTCGATAACATCAAGAAGAACGAGAACTAACTAAGAAACTTGCGACATAGTCGCAGGCATTAAGGAAATCTTCCTCCTCTGTATCCCTCAATGGGGAAATGACAGACCCGTCTACCTCCAAAGTGCAGAAGTTGCCACCAACTTACCCTTTTCTTCCTTGAGTTGGGCTGTAGAAGAATAACACAAAGAACAATTTTCAATATATGAAATCTATTGTTATCAACTTAAGGGCCCAACTCTGATCCCAGTTTTGGCAATGGAAGTCTAGTCACATATATTTACACATATACGATATACATGATACGTTAGGGAAATAAGACTAGGGTGTTACTGCTTATACAAACTCTGTCAAAATGTTGAGACGGCACTATGCGGTGGCCATTTTTATTGTAATGAAGCGGGGAATATTTAAATGCCCTCTTCATTGACTATGTTGGTTTGTTAATTTACATGTCTCTGTCAGTAGAGGAATGTAATCTAGACATACCCCTTGAGTCTATCACTATAAGGCGTGCTTTCTTATAATTTAATCCTTCTTGTCGTTCTCTCGAATACTCTCTCAAATTTAGCAACTTTCATTTGTCATTGGGGACGTAAGAACTGAACACAGTTGCACAGCAGCATAGGTAGTAGTTCTGCAGAAAAAAAAGTAGTTGTTCTGCAGAAAAGGACCTTAGGGTTACAGTGGATGAGAAGCTAGATATGAGTCAACAGTGTGCCCTTGTAGCCAAGAAGGCTAATGGCATATTAGGTTGCATTAAGAGGAGCATTGCCAGCAGATCCAGAGATGTCATCATTCCCCTTTATTCGGCTTTGGTGAGGCCGCATCTGGAGTAGTGTGTCCAGTTCTGGGCCCCCCACTACAAAAAGGATGTGGACGCATTGGAGAGGGTCCAGCGGAGGGCAACCAAAATGATTAGGGGGCTGGAGCATATGACTTATGAGAAGAGGCTGAGGGACTTGGGTCTGTTTAGTCTGCAGAAGCGAAGAGTGAGGGGGGATTTGATAGCAGCCTTCAACTTCCTGAAGGGAGGTTCCAAAGAGGATGGAGAGAGACTGTTCTCAGTAGTGACAGATGGCAGAACAAGGAGCAATGGTCTCAAGTTGTGGTGGGAGAGGTCCAGGTTGGATATTAGGAAAAACTATTTCACTAGGAGGGTGGTGAAGCACTGGAATGGGTTACCTAGGGAAGTAGTGGAGTTGATTTAGTTGGAATTGGTCCTGCCTAGAGCAGGGGGCTGGACTTGATGACCTTCTGAGGTCTCTTCCAGTTCTATGATTCTATGAATATTACTCCACCATTAAAGTTCTCCACCAAACAGATCAACTTTGAAGTCTTAATGAATAGACCACCAAAGCAGGGGAAAGAGGGGAAGAACAGGAGTAGGAGTGAGGAAAGTCTATGCTCTCCTTCTATATGAGAAGAAACATAATGCTTCACAGGAATGTAAAAAGATACTAGCCCTAAAAAAATAACATCAGAGATCATGGTCTATTTTCAGCACAGAGACCAGAATAGGTAAAAAATGAAGCTTCACTGTGTGTAAACTTGCTGCTATATTATATATTGATGTGTTTAGTATGTATACTGTAAATATAAATGTTGGCACACTGAGGGATAACCATTATATTCCTAAGGGCTTGTCTATACTGCCCTGTAGTTCAAGCTAGCTATATACTCCAAAGTGTTGTGGTCTGACTCCTCCACGTAGACTCTGATGGCGCAAACTAGAAGGCTCCCACTTTCTGTTAACAGGACTACATTAATGCAAACTAGGATTAATGTAGTGTATGAGCCTGCAATATCCCAATGGTGGAGTTACAGCACAGCATTTTTGTGCACATTTACACCTCTTTGCCTCACATAATGGCTGTGTCTAGACTGGCCACTTTTTCCGGAAAATCATCTGCTTTTCCGGAAAAACTTGCCAGCTGTCTACACTGGCCGCTTGAATTTCCGGAAAAGCACTGATGATCTCATGTAAAATCACCAGTGCTTTTCCGGAAAAACTATGCTGCTCCCGTTTGGGCAAAAGTCTTTTTCTTAAAGACTTTTGCGCAAAAGGGCCAGTGTAGACAGCATAGTACTGTTTTCCGCAAAAAAGCCCCGATCGCGAAAAAGGTGATCGGGGCTTTTTTGCGGAAAACTACGTCTAGATTAGCCATGGTCGCTTTTCTGCAAAAAGTGCTTTTGCGGAAAAGCATCCTGCCAATCTAGACGCGCTTTTCCGAAAATGCTTTTAACGGAAAACTTTTCCGCTAAAAGCATTTTCGCAAAATCATGCCAGTGTAGACGTAGCCACTAGTCTGAACTGTGGGGAAACGTGGAATTAGCCTAAATCTCATTTGTTCCAGGATTTGAAAATTCTGTAAATACTAGAATTTGCAGCTCCTTTTTACACAAGAGCATTAAAGACTATAACCCTAACATTTAAAAGACTAAGAACCACAAAGAACAACCAAAGTT